TCATGGGGAAGAAAGGTGTTGTAATCAGGTCAAAGTCTGTTTCATTCCATCATTTCTATTGGGTTCAAACAATTTGGATCCCATTCGATATGATGTGCTTCTGATGAAATGGGACATTCTTTGTGATTCCTGAAATTTTTCTGGATGAAGATTTCAATATTATCAAGATTAGTTTTTGTGACCTGATTCTATAGCATAGCGTGTAGACGAGCTATGGCTTATGATTTTCCAAGCTTTTCTAGTCCACTAACTGGATTTCTTGGTGGTTAGAAAGATGCTCTACGGTGTTCATTTCTTCTGATTACCTTGATTTCTCGTGATGTGTGTCCGATGTATATCGCATCACATTCCAAGCATTTTATTTTATTGACAAAATCAGATAGGGAATCTTTAGGGATTTGGTCTTTTATATGGACTGGGTACATATATACATATATGTGTATATCAACTCAGGTTGTAAAATATTTCCTAAATAATTAAATCTCCTAGACCACTAAAATCTCATTCGTAGCACTACTTCTCTTCCCTCTCAACCAACTCCCCTCAAGTAACTAACTAATCCGTTGCTACAAAAAAATTAAACATTTCATGGTACCCATATTTTGCTATTATTATTTTTATTATTATCATTATTATTATTATGGGCAGTAGTAATAATAATAGTGATATTAATAAAAATCCTATATAATTCAAATCCCAATTTACTTTATTGACATCTAAATTTTGAGTTCTGGCTTCTTTTATGTAGTTTTATCTGAAATAGACAAATAAAGAAATATGGACAGATATTTAAATTTAATGCCATATTTCCTAAAATCAGTCAACTGACTACGCTACATTTTTAGTTATTCTGACGTTAATGAAACTACCAAATTCTGCATTTCCAACATTGCTAATGTAGATGATGATAACCATGCGTGGAGTAATTAATTCATGCACTCGCATAACCTTTTAATGAATGACTTTCGCCTAATTAATAATTTAACTTTACAATATTGAAAGTCATCATGTGAGTGAATGCATATATTTTTATTTGGTTATATATATATATATATATATATATATACGTCTATAAGAAATTAATTAATACTTGTATTTAGTTGCCTACTGATGAATTCACCTAGTCTTTTGGGAAAAGTAGTTATTCTCATTAAAACAAAAGACAAAAAAAAATAAGGTAAAGTGGTTTCTGTCTTTGAAACCAGTCTGATCACTAGTCCACCATCCCTATTTTTCCTCCTTCTCAATGTTCTAAAATAAGTAAATAGACCTAAGATATTTGGATATTGTTTTGTACTAACAGTCAAATTTCTCATATTCTGCATTGCAACAGATGTTAGTTTCTATTTCATCGACGCCACACGTGGATAAAAATGATGCTCAAGATAACCTCTAGACTGGAAGTAAAGGACATGACACAGCATATTCCAAACCTACATAACTGAAACAAAAATATTCACAATTTAAGCTGCAGATACTCAAAACGGTTTACTATCCAGGCTATCCTCTCAGTACACTTCTACCTGCTTGTAAAAACAGAACCATAGCAGTAACCATTCCTACTTACTTCGTCAGTGTGAATGTATAATGTGAACTGGATAACAGTTATCTTCATTATATATATATATATATATGCTTTAATAACGAATCATTTTAGGGTTGAAGGGGATACGGTTTGTTTACGACATAATGATGAGAAGAAAATTTTGGATTATAACTGATAGAAATATAATATATGCCAACATATTATTTTTTATTTTCAATAAACTCTGTACTCTAATTAAACGAATTATCAAATCCCTTAGAAACATTCGACGCCAGACACACTAAACCATTATGACTGGTTGCTTGTATTAATAAGGTAATTGTAAGAATCGCCTGTGCGTCGGTGGCATAGTGGTAGAATGCTCACCGACTACGCACGTGGTAGGGAGTTCGATCGCCGGCCGACGCACTCCTTTACCTCGCTAAGGCGGTAGTAGGGCTGGCAAAGAGGAAAGGTTGGAATCGAGGCTAGCAACCCTATCCCGTGAAAATAAACACCTTTGCTACCGAAACTTCAATCCTCTAGCTTGAAGCCCTGTGTTACACTGGAAACGTAAAGGAATAAAAAAAATAAAAAACTCTCCTGACAAAGTTTCCTCTATGAAATATTTTTATAAACATAGGAATGACGGTTTCATTTGGAGGAGACCCGCGTTCTACTGGGTTAGTAGAATCAGTGAACATTGAGTTATGAGCGTCTTAGAATACTTTAGTAATTCCTTCTCTCAGGAGTGACTTTGGTCAAAATGCAACTGCAAGTGTACAGTAGAGGATAGTTCGTTTATTTTATTTCGGAATGTCTTACCACCTGACACTGCCAAACCTTCTATAATCGAAATTAAAATACTCATATCATATCGTAGGCGAATCATCTATGAATTATTCAGTCAAAAAAACAACAATCTGGAAGAAAGTGATGTAATACACCCTTGAAAAGAAAACTTTAGAGGATTAATTGGATGGATGCTATGTGTATACCGAGTAGCAAGTAAAAGAAAAAACGGTGCATCACTATGTCATAAGTTTAACTATATCACCCCTAGCTAGTTACATAAATTCATTAGCATCTTTTTGAGTATTATTATTTATTATTGCTCCCTTGGGTTTCTAGTGGAACATAGGGCTTCAACTGCAAGTCTCCATTTTCTTCTGTCTTCTGCTGTACTTTTCGCCTGCATCCATGTTAGGCCATATTCTTTCAACTCCTCTTCACACGATCTCCTCCATGTCACCCTTGCACTGACGTCCCACACGCCGCGTGCTTCCCTTTCGGCCTGGTTCCACTCGAGAAATGGCTTGACGCGCGATGTCACCCAGCGGTCTCCTCAGCGAGTGTCCGATCCATCTCCACTTTCTCCTGCATATTTCTTGGGCCATTGGTTGGCGATTGTTTTGTTTGTTCTCATAATTCCTTGTTGGTGATTCTTTTCGGCCATCTGATCTTCAGTATTGAGCGAAGACAGTTGTTAATAAAGGTCTGCAGCCTTTTGGAACTATTCTTTGTAACCCACCCGCCAAGTTTCTGATCCGTATAGAAGAACTGACTGACTTGACGTTTGTATTGAAAATCCGACCGAATTTTGTTGTTGGTGCTGAGTGACGAGGATTTCCAGATTGGTTTCAGGTTGATGAATGTGTTTCTTGCCTTCCCGATTCTCGATCTGACATCCTCATCCGTTCCGACTTCCTGTAGTTGAGACAATGCTCCTTCGCTAGATAAGTGAATGAAGTAATCTCTTTCAAATCCCTCCCGTCGATGGTGATTAGCACTGGATGTTGATGCTGCTGTTGTTGTTGGTTGGTTATTTTCATAACCTCAGTCTTGTCTATGTTTACCTGGAGTCCTGTCTTCGCCGGCTGCTTCTTCGACCACTTTGTCGGTTTTCGCTTGTAAGTCTTCGATTGTGTGTGACATCAAACATAAATCATTCACGCGCGAAATCCAGGTCTTCTAGGTTCTTGACGTCGGTCCAGGATATTCCTATCTTCTCGTTTCCCACTGTCTGGTGCATAATCCAGTCCACCACAATTAGGAATATCATTGGTGATAATAAGCCAGCACCCTTGCCTGACTCCTGTGTTTACTCCAAACGCCTCGCTGAGTCTTCCGTTGTGGATCACTTGGCAGGTGCCGCCGTTGTCGTACAGCTGTTGAATAAGGTTGATGAATGTTTGGGATACGCCATAGTACTCGAGTAATTTCCAAATTACTTCACGGTCAACCCTGTCGAAGGCCTTCTCAAAGTCTATAAAGTTGAGGTAGAGGTTTGATCGCCATACCTCATATCTTTTTGAGTAAGTCATGTAAAAAGCATAATTAAATGGCCGAAAATCAGTTTAGATTTGATAGTTAATTTTGAGGGAACTTTTGGTAATAACTGATTTTACGTTTCATTGTTATGTCAAAAAAGAGTTAACCTATTTTCATTTTGGTTTTAGTCTTTCCTCGAAACTTCTTATTTTGCTATTATTTTCAAATTTCCCTCTTTTTCTTTGTATCTGTTAAAGTCGGATTCTGAAATCTTTTTATATTATTGTGAAAGTCCTTAAGCACTGATACGCTTTTATACTGTAAGTACGCCAACAAAGAGAAATAGATTTTTTTACCTGCTGCTGTTCGCGCACCTTTGACGAAGATCGCTAGAACGTCATCTGACAGACAGTTCTGCAGAAGCATTTACCTTGGCAGAACAGAAAGAAGGGCTTAAGTTAGATCTTTTGTATATGTACTAAAGAGCCTTTGGTGAATCGGGCTGGATAGTTTTATTTAGTAAATCACCAAACACATGATATATATGGAACAGTGAGTAGACGAGCACTTAGAGTAATCAACAAACGGTTACCATGGTTACCCACGGTTACTCCCACCTTCGTAACTCTTCTTTTTCTGGTTGCATCAGTTTGTTTTCAACACTTTTTTTTCTTTTACTTTCATATTAGACTTAACTTTTGATGCTCCTAGCTCTACTCATTGTATCAAATAATCACTTCATCAGACGTTTTACACATCAAATTTGGACTTTTTTCGATCTCCTGAATCCTGTTCAGTGCATTTTATTATATGTGGTTACGCAATTGTTTCTGGTTTATGAAACACATTTTTAATGTTGCCAATCCTAATGATAAATTTACTTATTTCTTACGAGAAGCTTCGTTCTAATAAGATGTACAGATATCTTGTGATATTTTAAGGGCGATTTACCATCCACATGATTTATGACATTCTTACAATATTTTTTACTGAAAAACTGGATCCTCTTGATAAACACAGTGTGTGTCTAAATTGTATTATAACTCGTCTTTATTGAATTTTACAGATAGCATGGAACTGAAGAAAAGTAAAATAGACCCATGTTATTCATCGCCAATATTTTCTCTTTCTCTTTTCAAAATTATAATGGAGAAATTTTGTATGAAGTTCTTATTTTCGATCTGTTTGAACTAATTATCATTACTTTTATTTGCAACTTTTTTTCTGTCCCATGGAATCTTCTCTTCATATTTTGAGAATAGGGAAAGCTGAAAGCAGAGGAGAAAAAATTTCATCCGATTAAATAAAAAAGACGATTACAGAAGGGTTTTTGGTAGGTCTTTCGTTGTCAATGGCAACGGAGAGGTTTCTTCTGTTTCATCCATGAACTTTGGGTTTGTTTATTCAGGTGTAACAGTTCTGTAGAATGCCGATAAGTGATTCTTTTAAAAAATAAAATAATTAAATAAAGCAGACTTATATAGTTGTGATATATATAAATATATGAACTTTCCTAAATTGTTATAGTGGTAATTTTATTCAACAGACTAAAACATAGTAACTGAGAACTTACGTTAAATTTTCATTAAGTTATGCTGTAGGAATAGTAAGAAACGCTTTAAAACGGAATGGATATTCAGGTAATTTCGTTAGAAGGGTTATGATGAAAGTATTAAATGGTCCTTTTGATTCCTCTATAACCAGGACTAAGAGAATCCTCATTACAATGGAAACCACCCAGTCAAAGCTATCTAAAACATATGTGATCTTTAGAATAGACGTTTCCTTCAGATATGTTTAGTGTAGAATGTTTCACATGTTCATACAACTATAGAGTTAGTATTTTTGTACCCATTATGAGAACTTGATTATGACTCTCCTCATGATTGATAGCACATCTTGATGATAAGCACCAGTAGCCTCAGGATCCAGATCCGACTGAATTCCCCTAGCACCAAACGTCAAACTAAACTACGATGTGTTTCGCATCACTGTCATTTAATTCATTTCAGTAGCCAAACTGTACATCTAATTAGTAGCTTTCGAAAACACACTGAGAACTGGACAGTACTGCTGATTACTATTCAGGAACCATTTACTTACACTCTCTATCTTTTTAAAAATTAACGCTGACTGGTCGATAAAAAATCTATCTAGATATTATAAATGAGATGCAATGGTTTTAGAATTCCATAAACCAAGTAGCTGATAGACATAGAACAACATATGGAACAGCCTTAGAAACCCTACTAAACCTACGCATGTTCACTCCATAGATTGACGAAATTTCTATCAGCAAACTACTGAGTACATGGCAGAATGATACTAAATTTAGGGTATTCTGTTCAACTTATTTTTGAGTCTCTTCAAGTCTGTGAATTATTATATGAGTAAAAGGAATCGTGAATTACAATTAGGTATCATTACATTACAAAGCAGTTTGTGAATATTAAAAGAATGGTGTACTTAACCTCACAATGCCCTTGTAGACAATTCTTTTATTTCATCATATTATCGACTATTTATTTTGTTTTAAATGAATGAAATCCACAGATCACTCTCTCTCTCTCTCTCTCTATATATATATATAAGCTTCCGTAAAATAAAATAAATTCAGTATTTTCTGTAAATTGATTATCTTGAGAACTACAATGACCTCGAATGTATGTAGTGTGTTAACTGCACATTTCAAGGTTGTACTTGAAAATATTTTCAATTGTGGACTTAAAATTCACAAAAAAGTTCATACAAAAGTACATGGAAATGTGTAACTACAGTTAAAATTGAGGCCTATCTACTTTGGACTGAAAATCACTGGTTTGCTAACCAATCCTGAAACCGGAAAAAGAATGAAGGTTTGATTGGATCTAGCGTCTCTACTACGGACGATCAACCAAATCTCTACAAAAATTTCAACAGTCAGAGAAAAATTTGGAAAACAAACTTATTCTTCGCTGTAATTGGAAAGTTGAAAAGAAGCAGGCTAGTGAAAACCCTCAGAAAGTCAATCAGTCGAGGTGTATTCTTTCCATGAAAGCAAAATTAAGGATGCGCACATGAAATTTTCGCATGATGTTTGAAGTTCGGAAGTCTGTTCAGATTGCAAAATAAATGAGGAGATTCGAGATAGCAGTGCTGGGAATTTGAGAGAGCAGATGAAATGAAAGTGAACTCTCTAAATTGTTAACTGGAGAGTCGACAACCTACTCCGGCCACCCAGAAGACGACCACAAGCACATTGAGGGAGTTCCTACAATGACATCACTAAAAGCAGTCAAAGTTCGTATCCAGTGGAAACTATTCCACTCCATGATAATGACAACAAGATTGAATTTTCAAGTCAGGAGAGTTACAATCATCCAATGTGAGGCCCCTACAAATGCAGATCAGTAGGAGAAGGAAGAACTCCACTGATAACTACAAACAATTATGTGCAAGACCACAAGCAGATAGCGAAATCAAAATCCTAATGAGTAATATTAACGGAAGCATAACTGGGAGTGAACAACGCAGAAAACGAACTCCCCATGGGTGGGGAGGGTGTTGGAAAAATGAATGATAACAGAGAACTCTTCGAACTCCTTAGGGATTTCGCGGTTGGAGGTAGCATTTAAAAGCACAAAGATATACACAAGGTGACATGGATTTCATCTGGTGGACATACCAAAAATCAGACAGAATTCATCTCAAGCTCGAAAAAGGGGAGACGTAGCCTGCAGCACACAGAGCCGATAAGAGGGGAAGATGCAGTCGCAGATTATTATCTAGTACAAGGATTTTCAAGGTAAAGTTCAGAGCCTCCAAACAAGCTGGAGATAGACCACAATTCAAGTCCAACTCTCAGAAACTGAAGTATGAGACTGCAATGGACGCCTTTAGAATAAAGTCGCTAACATCGTGTACCATCATCGAAGAAACCCATGTAGAAGAACACTGGTACTCTATGAAAGTGGTATTTTACGAAGAATAAAGAGGCAACACAAGTAATGAGTCTTTGCAGAAACCCGGAAGCTAATGGATGAGAGAGGGCCGGTGAAACCGAAGATGAACCAACGCAGTGATGGACAACAGAAGGAAAAGCTGAGTTCAGTGTGTAACTCACTGATTAAAGATATGAAAAAGAATGTTGAGAAAAACAAAAGACAATTATACGATACATTGGAAACTTAATCAGGACAGGCCATATGTAAGAGGGATCACAAAACTACTGGTGAATACGATCCCTCCAAAGAAAGTAGACGTCCTAAATACGATAAAGTTGCTGAAAGCCAGAAGAGTAGATGGTACAGCCAGATGAAATTCCTTCGGAGGAACTGAAAGTGGTTCTGGAGACTACAGCGGATATCTTCACGCCTCTATTGCAGGATTTTTGGAAGGAAGGAAGGAAAAGTACCTACTGATTGGAAGAAAGGCTACCTTGTCAAAAGCTGGTGCCGAATCATTCTCCTGTCCATGACATGCAAAATATTAAATCGTATTATTCTGGAGAGAATAAAAGATGCACTGGATGCCGAACTTCAACAGGAACAAGCTGGATTCAGGAAAAGTAGATTAAATGTGGATCAAATCGCCATTCTACGCAACATAGTCGAACACAACTTAGAATGAAAGTCAAATCTCTACTTCAAATTCATCAATTTTGGCAGGGCGTTCGACAACTTTGGCCATGAAGTAATTTGGAAACTACTTCAACATTATGGTGTTTTTCAAGTGTTCATCAACCCCATTCAACAACTGAATGACACAAGGCACGTGCCAGGTGATTCACAATGGAAACCCCAGTGATGCCTTTTAAGAGAAGACAGGAATATGTCAGGTCTGACCACTACCACCAATGATATTCCTGACTGTGTTGAACTGGATTATGTAGCAGACGGTGGGGAGTAAGGCGACAGGAATATGTTGGACTGACATAAAAACTCCAGAAGATCTGGATTTATTTTGATTGAACACTAGTAACTAGTGTGATGTGTCTAGTACTTAATTTTGGTATAGACTAAATTCTGTCATTCAGGTTTGTAATGTGGCCGCCATTCTAGATAGCTCGCCATCAAGTTGCACATTTATTTAATGGTATTAGATGATTGGAGGCAATCGTCAGAAAGCCTTGGACCTAGGTTTCATACTAGCTGACACTCGTCAACAAGACGTATCTGCAACCTTGAAGGATTTCATGTCCTTTTGTGGTTCGAACCCGCGTCACCCAGTGCTGCAGTCAGAGATGTTACCACTGAGCTATTCGGGCTCGCGATCGATCTCCTGTAGGACTGTAGTCGAGCCCGAATAGCTCAGTGGTAACGTCTCTGACTGCAGCACTGAATGACGCGGGTTCGAATCTCAGAAGGGACATGAGTTTCTTCAATGTTGCAGATACGCCTTGCTGACGAGTGCCAGCTAGCATGAATCTTAGGTCCACGGCTTCATGCCGATTGCACCCAACCGTTGTCCAGACACTTAGTGCATCAGAAAAGCAATTTCAGCGGGCTTCAGACTTTTCTCAACATATGCGTTGTTTCCATTACTGAAGATTAGATGGCCTGTTAGAAAGGATCAGAAGCAAGAAACTCTGGGAGTGAACTTACCAAGAAATAATTGCTCTACAGTTATGTGGAAGTAATTGAAGATGGATTAGACACTCACATGCAGTGTAGAAGTTCAAGTGGAACTAAATGAAATTGCAGATTAAAATTGCTGTATTTCATCTGGTCTCCGTTATTCGGTTATCAGTTTTTCATTATCATTGTACATAACTCTCCTGGTATTTCAGTAATACCGTACATTCATTTTGCCACATTTTAATTTTAATTTTTAGTTTGCATTAAAACAATGAATAAATGTTAATTTCGATGAGTCTGCTGACACTTCACTTTTCTTCACTGTTTGTTTTGCAGCTGGAAATGTAAGTATTACCATTCTATCAGTACGGGATTCTATTCCTTCTTTATGAAATTCTTATCATTATCAAGCTGCCACAGTTGTCTTCTTTCAGAAAAGTCCTCCACCGGATACGCTTTTGAGATGTTAACATTTTAAAGTTGATATCAGAAGCCAATAAATTTAGATTGTTTACTAGACTATTGAAAATAGTATTGAATATCTTCTGACCTTTCTATCTATTCGATGAGTTATCTGAAAGTTGTGACTTTTGAACTTCGATGTTAAATGAAATCACCGTTTTTCGATTCTCTCTAGGTTGAAATAACCTTACGACAAAGCATGTGTGTTGAATTAAATGCCACTGTTCCTTGCACTTATGCTACCGAGGGAACAACTTGTTATAAGGATAAGATATAAGTTACTTTATCTCATCTTAGTCTTGTTTCGCTGCTTTAGTTTACAAGATACTTTCCGATTGTACTTACATCTTTGTATAGAAATAAATAGC